CCCTTTGACCTTTTGTTTTGAAATTCTTCACAAATGATTGACAATGTGTTTATCTTCAAAACGCTGTCAGGCATTGTTTTTAGTTGAATAGTGTTACAGCAATCGTACAGACAACTAGCCTGGGTGTTAATTTATGCATAAACTTGAAGTAGTGAAATTTGAGCTGCTGCCCTACAAAATTGACAACTGGTAGACAGTTTTGAAGACGGCACTTTCTGCATAGTAAACAGATGTACCCATAAACCAATTTTGACAGGAAAGAGAAGCACGATTTAGAAGCTAATTTTTTTTAAATCACTTTTGACCAAAAAAGCACATTTTTGTGCATATTTCAAACTACAGTGTCCATAAAAATAAAATACTAACAAAACTTTAAAATTCATACAATAAGCTTTCCGAAAATATATAGCTTTGTGGACAAGGGAGATCATCTTGGTTTCCTAATTAACTAATTAAAATACCTGTCAGGTAAACTGCATCTCTACCTTAAGAGATATGGCTCTAGAAGCCCAATCATTAAAACAAAATGGCCGCCAGTCAACCATTTAGAATCCAATCTGAAAAATAAAATGTCTAATGTATGTACAAAGTTTGAACGAAATCCACCCATAAATGCTTGATATTTGATGTTTTTTAGCACAAAAAATGACCACCATTCAGCCATTTTGAATAGGATAGTCAAACCATTATATCTCTTTATCTATGACAAGATGTATAATGAATATTTAAAATTTGAAAATATTATCAGTCAAAACAAGTCGGAGATATGGGTCTAGAAGCCCATTCATTAAAATAAAATGACTGCCAGACAGCTATTTTGAATCCAATCTGAAAAATAAAATGTCTAATGTATGTACAAAGTTTGATCGAAATCCACCCATAAATGCTTGATATTTGATGATTTTTTAGCACAAAAATGACCACCATTCGGCCATTTTGAATAGGATAGTCAAACCAATATATCTGTCTATGACATGATATATAATGAATATTTAAAATTTGAAAATATTATCAGTGAAAGCAAGTCAGAGACATGGCACGAGAACCACATTCATTAATACAAAATAGCCGCCAGTCGGCCATTTTGAATCTTATCAGAAAAACAAAATTATTTGCATCAATGTCCCATAATGTCTAATTTATATACCAAGTTTGAACAAAATCCATCTGTAAACAGCCGAGAAATGCTTGATTTTTAGGATTTTTTAGCACAAAAATGGCCGCCATTCGGCCATCTTGAATCAGATCGTAAAACAAAATGATGTGCATCAAGGTCCTATAATGTCTAATTGTATATACCAAGTTTGAACAAAATCCATCTGTAAACAGCCGAGAAATGCTTGATTTTGATGATTTTTAGGACAAAAAAGGTCGCCATTCGGCCATCTTGAATCAGATCGTGAAACAAATTGACGTGCATATGTATAATATTATGTATGATGTATATGAGAAGTTTGATTGTGATTGGTCCAGGCATTTCTAAGATACAGGTCCGGACACATGCACAGACGCATACACGCACGCACGGACACACGAAGGTCAAAACATTAGTCCCCGTTTTCGGACTGCGTCCGAACGGGGACTAATAAAAGCAAGATAGAATTCAACATTCATAAATATTGTACTAACTTTCCTAAAAGACTATTCTAAAACCCATGTACAGTGTATTATTATCTATTATATATAATTATACATCTGTCACCATAACGCCACAAGTTATAGAGGACGTTTCAGTATAGAGGGGCAACCCTATGGAATAACTTACCATCCCATATCAAAAATTCAGCCTCATTAGGCATTTTTAAGAAAACTTACAAAATATATCTTAGTGAAAAATTTGTTATTAATGGCTCAAGCCTATAGTATTTTTATTGTGTATTTTGTTTCTACAGAGGGCCCAATGAAAATTACTTTATTGTATATTGGCCTACCCTCTTTGAATGAATGAATGAATGAACGAATGAATGAATGAATGAACAAGTGAACGAATGAATGAATGAATGAATGAATGAACGAGCGAACGAATGAAGTGATGTTACATTTCTTGCTGGTTGATTGATGGCAGATATAAGACATTCATGTCTTGCATTTTTGTGTATATGTATTTGTGTTGAATGAGAACAGCATTTGGTAAACCAGTCAGCCAATTTAAATCTGATCTGAGGAAAAGATAAAATATATCAAGGCCTCTCTGTATCTATCTGCTGTTATGGTTTGATCTACTCACCTTGTGATGCTACTTGTACTGTTTGTATTGACACATCTGAAGTATTACAGTAATACACCTGTTCTACCTGTATCTGTAGGTAAGTTGAGCTGTATTGTATAGCCATATCTGCTGTTATGGTTTGATCTACTCACCTTGTGATGCTACTTGTACTGTTTGTATTGACACATCTGAAGTAATACAGAAACAGTAATATACACCTG